GTGTGTGTGTGTGTGTGTGTGTGTGTGTGCGGTAAATAGATAGATAGATAGACAGATAGATACATAAAGAGAGTGAAAGAAAGAGATAAAATAGAGAGAGAAAGAGAAACAGAGTGCCAGCAGAAGCATAAACAGACAGACACAAACAGACAGGCAGGCAAAACTAGAACGAGAAATGAGAAAGGTGGGGGGGAGGGGAAGGGGGAGGGGAGGGGGGGGAAGGGATTTTTCTTTTACAAAAAATTTCTTTCTTTGCTTTATATGTATGTATGTAAATTGGTATGTTAACGCCCCTTGTTCCTCGCATAGTGAAATATTTATGTCAGAATATTGCTATTATTATCATTCATATTTTTATTATCATTACCTTTATTATTGTTGTATTTATTGCTGTTATCGATGTCATCATTAATATTTTTCTCATTGGGTCGTCATTGGTATTATTATCATTATTATCATCTTTATCATCGTTATCTTTATAATTATTGCTATTCCTATTTTTAGTGGTTTTCTTCTACCATTGTTATTACTATTTTTGTCATTACTATTGCTACTACTTTTATTATTATTAAGATTATTATTATTGATATAATTATCATCACCATCATCATAAAAATCATTATTGTCATCATTATTGTTGTCATTATTATCATTACTATTGTGATTATTATCTTTATTATCATCATTATCATTATTATTATTACTAATATGATTATCTTTATTATTATCATGATTTTTTTTATTATTGTTATCATTATTATTATCATTATTATTGCTATTATTATTATTATCATTATTATTATTATTATTATTATTATTATTATTATTATTATTATTATTATTATTATTATCATTAATAATATTATTATCATTATTATTACTATTATTACTATTATCATTATTACTATTATTATCCCTGTTATTATTATTACATTGCTACTGTTATAATAATTATTATTATTATTACTATTATTATTATTGTCACTATTATATTGTTATTATCATTATAATTTCTATTGTTACTGATATTAATATCACCGTCATCATTGTTATTATTATCGTTATTATTATCGTTATTATTATCATTATTATCATTATCATTATCATTATCATCATATTATATATTATTACTATCATTATCACAAACGGGAACACAAACAAGCAAGCAAGCAAACAAACAAACAGAACGCACCAACGAAACAGAAAAAAAGAAAAGAAAAGCGAAAGGAGAAACAGGTGAAAGAGAGAGAGAAAGATTTGGAGACAGAGAGGAATATACGTTACAAAGGAACCTTGTTGAACACAGGCTTTCTCTCTCTCTCTCTCTCTCTCTCTCTCTCTCTCTCTCTCTCTCTCTCTCTCTCTCTCTCTCTCTCTCTCTCTCTCTCTCTCTCTCTCTCTCTCTCTCTCTCTCTCTCTCTCTCTCTCTCTCTCTCTCTCTCTCTCTCTCTCTCTCTCTCTCTATCTATCTATCTCTTCACTCTCACTCGCTCTCTCTTTCCTTTCTTTTCTCTCTCTGTCTGTCTGTCTCTCTCTCTCTCTCTTATCTTCTATCTATCTATCTATCTCTCACTCTCACTCCCTCTCTTTCTTTCTTTCTCTGTCTGTCTGTTCTGTCTTCTCTGTCTTCTCTCTCTCTCTCTCCTCTCCCTCCCTCCCTACCTCCCTCCCTCCCTCTCTCCTCTCTATCTCTATCTATCTCTCTATCTCTCCCTCTCTCCCTCTCTCCCTTCTCCCTCTCTCCCTCCCTCCCTCCCTCCCTCCCTCCTCTCTCTCTTTTCTTTTTTTTTCTCACTCCTCTCTCTCTCTCTCTCTTTCTCTTTTTTCTTCTCCTTTTCTCTCCCTGACTTTCGGCTTCTCGGAGTATAATTATACGAGATACAGTCTGCCGTTAATAGTAAGATATTGAGCTTGTCTTGCGAACTTCTTATCACGACTTGAGACAACTTGAGCTCATATTCTTTTTTTTTTTTTTTTTTTTTTTTGCTCTTGTTAATTTTGGAAGTTTTGTTTTTGTTGGTGGTGGTGGTGGGTGGTGGTGGTGGTGAAGGTGGTGGAGGTGGTGGTGGAGGTGGTGGTGGTGAAGGTGGTGAAGTGAGGTGGTGGAGGTGGAGGTGGGTGGTTTTGGTTGAGGTGGTGGTGGTGGTGGTGAGTTAGTGGTGAGGTAAGGTGGTGGAGGTGGTGGTGAAGGTGGTGGGTAAGGTGGAGGTGGTGGTGGTGGAGTAAGGTGGTGGTGGTTGTGTGGAGGTGGTGGTGGAGGTGGTGGTGGTGTGGTGGTGGTGGTGGGGTGTAGGTGGTGAGGTGGTGGAGGTGGTGGAGGTGGTGGTGGTGGTGGAGGTGGTGGTTTAAGTGGTTGAGGTGGTGGTGGGTGGTGGTGGAGTTAGTGGTGGAGGTAAGGTGGTGGAGGTGGTGTGAAGGTGGTGGTAAGGTGGAGGTGGTGGTGGTGGAGGTAAGGTGGTGAGGTGGTGGTGGTGGTGGTGGAGTTATGGTGGAGGTAAGGTGGTGGGTGGTGGTGAAGGTGGTGGTAAGGTGGTGGGTGGTGGTGGAGGTAAGGTGGTGGAGGTGGTGGTGGTGGTGGTGGTGGTGAAGGTGGTTTTGAGGTGGTGGTGGTGGAAGGTGGTGGTGGAGGTGGTGGTGGTGGAGGTAAGGTGGTGGAGGTGGTGGTGGTGGTGGAGGTGGTGGAGGTGGTGGAGGTGGTGGAGGTAAGGTGGTGGAGGGGGTGGTGGAGGTGGTGGAGGTGGTTGTGGTGGTGGTGGTGGTGGAGGTTTTGAGGTGTGGTGTGAAGGTGGTGGTGGAGGTAAAGTGGTGGAGGTGGTGGTGGTGGTGGAGGTGGTGGAGGTGGTTGAGGTGGTGGACGGTAAGGTGGTGGAGGGGTGGGTGGAGGTGGTGGTGGAGGTGGTTTCAGTGGTTGGTGGTTGGTGAGGTGAGGTGGAGGTGGTTGGTGTGGTGGTGTGGTGGTGGTGGAGAGGTGGTTGAGCGTGGGGTGGTGAGGTGGTGGTGGAGGTGGTGGTGTTGTGGAGGTAAGGTTGGTGGTGTGGTGGTGGAAGGTGGTGGTAAGGTGGAGGTGGTGGTGGTGGAAGGTAAGGTGTAGGTATATGGGGTGGAGGTGGTGGAGGTGGTTTGAGGTGGTGGTGGTGGTGGTGGTGGAGGTGGTGGTGGTAGTAGGTGGAGGGGTGGTGGGGGAGGTGGTGGAGGTGGTTTGAGTGGTGGAGTAAGGTGGTGGAGGGGTGGTGGAGGTGGTGGTGGAGGTGGTTCAGTGTGGTGGTGATGATGGTGGAGGTGGTGGTGGTGGTGGTGGTGGTGGAGGTGTTGAGGTGGTGGTGGTGAAGGTGGTGGTGGAGGTGGTGGTGGTGGAGGTAAGGTGGTGGAGGTGTGGTGGTGGTGTGGTGGAGTGGTGGAGGTGGTTTGAGGTGGTGGAGGTAAGGTGGTGGAGGGGTGGTGGAGGTGGTGGTGGTGGTGGTGGTGGTGGAGGTGGAGGTGAGTGGTGGTGGTGGTGATTTTATTTTATCTTAGCTGTAATTGTTGTCGGATTTGTTTTTCTTCTCCCCCTCTTCCTCCTCCTTCTTTTCCTTCTGGTTTCTCTCCCTTCGTTTTCGCAATTTCTTCTCCTCCTCCTCCTTCTTCTTACTCCCTTTCATCCTTCTGTTTCTCCCTCTTTTTTTCTTGCCTCCTCCTTCTTCACTTTCACTACCTTTGCTTTTCTTTCTCATCTCTCCTTCCTCTCCTGTTTCTTTTAACATCATTCTTTTTCAATTTATCCCTCCATCTCTTCCTCTGCCATTTTCCTTTCTTCCTCTTCTTCCCCCATCCCCTCCTTCCTCGCTCTCCTCCTCTCCCTCTTCCTTTTCCCTTCTTTCCTCCTCCCTATGACTTTTTCGTCTACTTCTCTTCTATTCCTCCACTCTTCTTCCTTCTGCCTCCTCCTTTTCTCCACCTCTCCTCCTCTCCTTCCTCTACCTCCTCCTCCTCCTCTACCTCCTCCGTTCTTCACCTCCTTCCTCTACCCCTCCTCCTCCTCCTCTTCTTCTCCTCCTTCCCTCCTCTCTTATTCGCACCTTAAAAAGTGTGCGATCATTAGCATGTGCTTTGTTCGACTGTCTTTCTCTCTTCGTTCATTTCGAGCGTTTGTCGACTCCTGTGAACCCAGTTTCCAGTTCAGATAAATGCTTCCTTTGTTTCTAAGTTACTGCTTCTGTTTCTCTTTCTATTTCTTGTTTTTTTATTGGTATGTGTGGCGGTTATCTCGTGCTCTCTTTCTATTTTTTTTTTTTATTGGTTTGTGTCTGTGTGGCTGTTATCTCGTGCGTTCTCTCTCTTTCTTTCTGCTTGTCTTTACTTTCTCTTTTCGCTCTGTTTTTTTTTTTTTTTTTGTTCTTTCGCATTGTCTCTGTCGTTTGTTTTGTTTCTCGATTTTTACTTTATTTTATTTGATAGTTCTCTACGGCCGCCTTCTCTTTGGTGTCTCTCTCTCTCTCTCTCTCTCTCCCCTCTTTCTCCCTCCTCCATCTCTTCTCCTTCTCCAGCCTTCACCCCAAATTCCTTTCCTTTCCCTTTTCTCCTTCCCTCCTCTCTGCCCCATTCTCTCTGTCCACTCTCCCTCTCCGTCTTTCCCTCCTCTCCTTCCTTCCTCTCTCCCTTCCATTACCTTTCTCCACTCTCCCTCTCCGTTTTCCCTTCCTGTCTCCCTTCTCTCTCTCTCTCTCTCTTCATTACCACTCTCCACTCTCGCTCTCTTCCCTCCTCTCTCCCTTCCATCACCTCTCTCCACTCTCCTATCCTTCCCTCCTCTCTCCCTTCCCTCATCTCTCCCTTCCCTCCTCTCTCCTTCCATCACCTCTCTCCACTCTCCCTCTCCGCCCTATTTTCGCCCCCCTCCCCCTCCCCCCCCTTCCCCCCCCTCCCCCGCGCCAGAAAACCTCGGTCCGCCTCGAGCGACGAGTTCAAGTATTTCAAATTCCTTCGGGAGCGGGAGGCCGCCGCCGTCTCGAGATGGTGAGAGAATGATAGAGAAGGAGGAGGTTGAAGGCTCAGGTCAGCGGGTCAGGTTGCTCAAGGGGAGGAGGGGAGGAGGGAGGGTGGAGAGAAAAGGGGGGGAGGGAGGGATGAAGGATGAGGGAGGAAGGGAGGGAGGGAGGGAGAGGGAAGGAGGGAAGGAGAGAGGGGAGTGGATGGAGAGGGAGGAGGAGGGAAGGGAGAAGGGAGGTGTGAAGGAGGAGGGAGGAAATGGGATGGAGGGAGGAGGGAGCAGGGAGGGTGGGAAGGAGAGAGGGAGAGAAATGGATGGAGAAGGAGAGGGATAGAGGGATGGAGGGAGGAAGGGGGAAGGGAGGAAGGGAGGGGAGGGAGGAGGAATGTATGGAGGGGGTGGGGAGGAGGAAGGGAGGGAGGGAGGGAGGGGAGGGAGGGAGGGGAGGAGGGAGAGGAAGGGAGGGGAGGGAAGGAGAGAGGAAGGGATGAAAAGAAAAGGTGGAGAAGGAGAGGTGGAAGGAAGGTGTGGGAAGGAGAGAGAGAGAAAGGGACGGGAGGCATAGGCAAGGATGAGGAAAGATATGAAAGAAAGGGAGAGAGAGGGAAGGGAAGAAAGGGAGATAGAAGGAATGAGGGTGGGGAAGAGGTGGCATAGAGGGAGGGAGAGAGAAGGAGAGAAAGGGAAGCGAGGAGAAGGAAAAGAAGGTGGGGCAGATACGGGAGGGAGGGAGAAAGGGAGAAGAGGAGAGGGAAATACGGTAAGAAAAGATTGAAAGAAAGAGGAAGAAGGGAGAGAGGAAATATGTGGAAAAGAGAGAGGGAGGGACTGGTAAAGACCTGAGCCGAAGAAGGAAGGAAGGGGGTGATGTGAGAAGAGATATACAGAGAGAAAGTGAAGAAGAAGAGAAAGAGATAAACAGAAAGAAAGTGGAAGAAGAGAAGAGAAAGAGATATACAGAGAGAAAGTGGAAGAAGAGAAGAGAAAGAGATATACAGAGAGAAAGTGGAAGAAGAGAAGAGAAAGAGATACACAGAGAAAAAGTGGAAGAAGAGAAGAAAAAGGGATAAGGGAGATATGATAAGGAGAGAGGGAGGAGGAGAAGGATGAAAAGAAAGGGAGAGGGAAGATATAGAAAAGGAGGAGAGTGGAATAAAAAGAGAGGTGAGGGAANGAGAGAGAGAGAGAGAGAGAGAGAGAGACCGAAACCCTCTTCTGCTTACAGGTGGAGCAGACGACTAAAGCGCGAAGAATCCCGGTCTCCCGTGTGCGAACTCTGTGCTTCAGGACGAGACGACCAGTGCAGCGGCAAGTGGCCCTGCAGGTAACATTTCATTGTCGCCAGGTATCCCCTCAGCTCTGGGGCCAAATAACTTCCATCCATGATATTTCCAGCGGATATGAACTTTTTAGCGATTTTATAAGGTATTTGACTTGGGTCGCGATCCCTTTCCATTAGCTTCCCTCCTGTTATCTGTCCCCCAGGCAAGCACCGACGCCCAACCCTTCTCCACCACGAAAGTACAGAAATAACCGCAGTGGCAGCGAATGGTCCAACGCCACCCAACTGACTTTTATCTCTGGTGAGTCCTCTGTCTCTTATCCTCCTTTCTAACTATCCAGAAGGGTTACTCAACGGATGGGAAATAAATCGCTGATGATATATTTACAACTGTAAGTTATATTTGGTTGCTTTTGCATTTTTCTATTATTGCGATAGAGGTTTACAAAACAAGGACTTCCTGCATTTGCTGAGGTGAAAACTAAAACCCAGGATAGACCAGAGTGCTACACAAACGGCAAAAAATATGGTTATATGGTAACGTGAGGTGACATCCTTCCAGACGGTCCAGCAGACGGTCCCTACAGCACCCGACGGACGTCCTTCGATTCCTACGGATCCAGCGTCTCGGAAGAATCCTCCGAGTCTTCCGGCCACTTCATGGAACAGCTGGGGACCTCCACCATAAGTTATCCTCCCGCCGGACCACCTGGGAGCTATCTCTCGCCCTTGGAACTAACTTACGGCCACGAGGACCTTCGCTACGCCCCCGATTTCGACACGATCCTGGAGTGTGACGAACGCAGTCCGAGATCCGATAATGCAGTGTCCTTCTTCTAGTCGGGCGTTTGGGCGTCAATCCTTCCTCTCCTCCTCACTTAGCGAAGGATGCGAGAGCCGGTGCCTGTCGTTTTATGTACAGAGTACAGTTAGTCATTCATTAGATCTCTGTCAATATAAATGTTAGATATTAATATTTGGCCAGTTTTTTGGTCCGGTGTGCATCTTTTACTTCTTCCTCGAGTTCTATCATAAAGTGTTCGTCGTATTAAGATATGCAATGTTTTTATTTGTGACAACAATATAGTTTAAGGTACCATTAAAAATTAACCCTTTTTCGTTTGTCAGAATGCGTATTTTTTAAGTACTTTATAGTTTTACACCTAAGAGTTTGAGCTGAACAACAACACTGCTTTCTTCATTAACCTTCTTCATAATGTGTGAAGATTATGAAGTCCAACATAGAAAGGAAACATAACTTGGAAGCCATTTGCCCTTTGCATTACCGAGTACTCGTACAGACATTAAGATAATCTTTTGTTTGGGTTATAAACATGGCAGAGAGAGAAAGAGCGAGATTTAAAAAGAGATAGGCAAATACAGAGAAGAAAAAGAAGAATAGCAATAATCATGATAATGATAACAATTAAAATGATAGTAGTAATAATAATGAAAATGAAGACAATGACAATCAGAATAATGATAGTAAATAATAATGAAAATGATAATGACAACGATAATAATGATAATAATAATACATAACCAAAAATGATACTAATAATAGTAACATTAATAATAATGATATTAATAATGATAATAATAGTAATAGTAATAATGATGACGGCTATAATGATGATAATAATGATTATGATAATAAGGATGATTATAATAATAATGATAATGATAATAAGGATGATAATAACAACAATAATAATAATGATGATAATGATAATAAGGATAATAATGATGATAATGATAATAATAATAATACAATTTAATAAATAGTAATGATAATAACAATGATGATGACAATATTAATGCTAATGATAATAATTATAACAATAATAACAACGATAATGATAATAATAGAAATAGTGATGATATCAATAACAAAGATGATAACAATAATAACAATACCAGTAGTAGTAATAATAATAGTGATAATAACAGTAATGATAATAATAGTGATAATGATGATAATAATAATGACAATAATAATGAAAACAATAATAGTAATAATGATAAAAATAATAATAATTTGAATAAAAATGATGATGATAATGATAATAATAATAATAATGATAATAATAATAATAATAGTAACAATAATGATAATAACAATAACAATGATAATGATAATGTAAATAATTATAATAACGATAGTAATAGTGATAATTATAAAACAATAATAATGATAATTAAAAGCAATAACAATGATAATGGTAATGATAATAATAATGATGATAGGAAAAATGATAATCATAACATAATGGTAAAAAATAATAGTAACAACAATAGTAATCATAATAACAATGGTAACAATAGTAAAACTGGCAATAATGTCAATAATGATGATAGAAATGATACTGGTGAACTCTGGTTTTGAAATAGCCAGTAATGTTTGTTTTGCCACAAATGAAATATAAGTAAATAAATAATAAAGTTGTCTCCCCTAAACCAGAGAAAGAAAACAAACACTTATAAGAGAGAATGAATTTATGTGTAACTTCACTTAATAACTTAACGTATTTGTTTTAAACATCAACAATTAACTATTCACTTAATGAAAAGTCCAGCATACATCTACATTCATAAAGAAATAAATCGATGTTTTAAATAAGAAAAGAAGAAAATACTGCATTTGGACCATATATATTGGATTGGAGGTTCATTTCACACATGTTGAAGACGGTCGGCTTGATTCATTCTTATTGCACTTCTACAGCTTTTTATATAGCATAATTTTCAGCTATCAAAATATATTTTTTGAGGTTAGAAAAACAAAGAACGAAGATATTAGGCATACTGAACATCGTTTATGACGTCAAATAGTAATCCGGATTCTTAAAGAAGTATCACGAACGCTCGCTCTAGCAGACAATCGGCGTTGTATCATATACCAGGCTTATATAATTGGAATTATAGTTCCTTATATTTAAATTAAAAAATTAAATCCCATTATTTGTACTAAATTCCTTCAATTTGTATATGTACAAGTAGTTTACAATTATTAACAAAAGAAAAAAATGTATATAGATATTGTTGTTATTATCTTTAATCTCTGTACCTTGAACTTGAACTGACATCGCACACACTACCATCCCCTCGGACGCCGTGAGGTTGAATTATCTCAGAATTTTACTCTAACCTCTTCTTTCTTCGACTTTCGCGATGAAGTTGAGCCCAGGCACTGCCCAGAGACTACAAACGGTCATCGAATTGGGGAAGACTGTGTTCCATTGGGGCTTCATCCCTACAGTGCTTTATTTAGGTACATTGCCATATTTATACATTTATGTAATTTTTATTAAATATATGTTATATTGATTAAAATAAGACAATCTGATTTTAATTCTGGCGAGGAGACAGTTCTCCTGTGAGGAAATTAAGTGGATTATCATTGGTTATCATGAATCAATTCAAACAAATATTATAATTATCTCTTACATATTCACCAGACTGTGAAGTATTTGGTAAATTTCCATATTAACTTCGCATCTCCGATATCGACGATTTTGGTATTGTTATATTCCTCTCACTGTCCACATTGCAATTATATAGTTTTTATTGCGCGGAAACCCCCCGTTAGCGACAAACTTGGCCCCGATAGCAAGGGAGGGCATGGAAGGTTAAGTGCGGGGTTAAGTAACACTAATAATATAACACACTGTGAAATTAACCATGGTTATTCACATGACTTTTCCATGCCGCTCTCCCAACCCCCGCCGAGGAAACAAAACCTCCACCACGTATTCCTGGCAGGCTAGAGCGATACACAATTATCGTCGATCTCGGAGCGGCGGACATATTACAATTACCTCGTAACATTCCCACCGAATCAGCATACTAACCTTGACATAGTCTGCATTGTATACAGAGATGATTGTAGTATAATCAGGTTGAACAGGGTATACCATGAACAGAAGAGCATCTAAAAATCCTAGGTTATGGTAGGGGTTATCAGCTCCGCATCTAGTTCGTGTGCGCTCTATCCTGCCATGAATATGTGGTGGATATTTTGTTTCCTCGGTGGGGGTTAGGGGGCAGCAGCCCTCCCTAGGGGGGGTCGCAGTGAAGTCATGTGAATGATCATGGTTATTTTCACTGTGGGTTATATTATTAGGGTAATTTTCTATTTTACGTCCGCCACTCAGACCACTGCTCCGACATTGTCACCCCTGCTATCAGGGCCAAGTTTGCCGCTAACGGGGGGTTTCCATGCAATAAAACCTACATATTTGGATTGTACAGAGGGAGAGGACTCCAATGATACCAAAATCATTGATATCGGAGAGGGGAAGGTAATATAAAAATTACCTAGTATTTTTCTTGCATGGGTAATATTACATTTTTCCATGCACAGAAAACATCATTTTGTTTACATTTGTGTGGACGAATCTGCAGATAGATGATGAAACAAGTGTATAGAAAGGTGAAAAGGATTTTATGCTTTGGTCCTTTTTTAAAAGATGATTTAAAAAAGGACTAAGTGTGTGCAGAAAGTTACCCAAGAACTACATTTGCACAGACAGAATTTGACCAAATAGTTTTTGTGCGGGGAACGTTCCCTGCGTAGACCAAACTTTACAGTCTGTCATATTCACAGTAGGTCTAGGCTTATATCTTCATTTGGTGTATCTTTTCTCTTCTTTTAGACTATACCATAGTCTATACTCCCTGGATCCTTTTTTGTAGTTCTTTGATATTTTCAAATTATATCTATTATTATTCTTTGTAGGAATATCTTTGTATGTCTCAACATGTATTACTTCTTTACTGGTGGTTGATTTGCTCCTGTAATTAATAAATTCAGGTCAGGGTTTTGTACTCTTATCTTGTTTAGGGCTTGTAGTAGGTTGGTCCTGCATGAGTTAAATCTCGGGCATTGTAAGATTAGATAGTGTTTCTTGATTGCTACACCATTGGCACATTGGATCTGTTTCTATTTTTAGTCTATGCAAGTGTGTTTTGAGTCTTGTGTGTTTTGCCATTAGTCTTGCAATGCTGACATCTATTTTCCTGTTCTGTAACTTTAGTAAGATAACCTTTTATTTTTAGTATTTCATTTTTATTTCTCCTATTAACTTTGTTGAATTTTGGGTCATGGTTGTGGGATCTTTCATTTCAGGAGCTTTTTATGCTGTTTTATCTGCTATTTCATTTTCTTATATATTCTGATGTGAATGGGGATTCATTGCAATTTTGCATGATGTTTTTGTGTTTAGTAAATGTAGTAATGATTGTATTACATATATTATTGGTTTATATTTTCTTGGTTTGTAGTTTTTTACTGTTTGTATGGCTGCTTGTGAGTCTGTTAAGGGTAACTCTTTACAATATGGACGCACTCGCCAGAGACTAAGTCCCTAACTGCACATCAAAAAATATATTTACCAATCTAAGTTGCTGTGACTGAGCACTGCCTGAGGGGAAAGTTGATAGGGGGCTCTGTGGTGTGTTTTGATTTTTTTTCATTACTTGTGGATATTCACCTATTTCCCAACATTTATTAAAGTTAAAGATAATTTCTAATATATTTTTTGAGCATTTAGAGGGCATTAAAGATACCAGGGTATTTATACGTTAAGGGGGTTGTCACCATAGATTTTTGACGTATATTTTTTAAAATACTCGAAAAATTGAGAAAAAAAATCTTGTGTAATCTAGTAGGCTTTGGCAACCCACTGACATAATATTTCTGCTAAATGCACACAAATAAAGAAGTAATGACTAAATATCTGACCCCCCGCCTCCCACTCCGATGTTTACTTTGTCGCGTCCATGCAAATATACTCAAAATAATTTTTTTTTTTTTTTTAGGATTTTTTCCCGATTTATTTTGATATTCTCTGGTAGCTAGCTGGCAACTCTGTTTACCGATCAGCTGATTCCCAAGACTGGGACTCTGGAGACAAGATGTTGCCATTCTAGGAGACAAAATATTAATAGCTCCTACCTCCACAACACACCTTGCAGACGTACGCCCTCATTACACAGTAAAGGGACACAACTAATGGTAGATGTCTCATTTGTATCTAACAATATGATAAGAAATAAATCTCAATCACAGTTGCAGCAGTTGTTTATGCTTATGAAATACCTCACATGGTCATGTTAGGCATTGCAAAGTCTTTGATGACAAGCACTAATTCTACAATCATGTGCAGGTATTGCCATAAGTACTTTGCAAAAGGGGGGGACCAGGTACCAGCTACACCAGAATACTATGTGAATGCCATAGAACAAACTTTGTGATTTTTCACAAACTCGTTTTTCTTAAATAATGCCGTTGTTTATTATTCAGATATTATGAAACTTGATGGTGTTTATCAGTGCTTATGTATATATATTATATTAAAAAATCATGAAAATCCGATCATAAATGACGAACTTTGTTCTCGAGTACGCTTTTTATTATTATTATTGATTTATTTTGCTGATTTTAATGAAAACCATACTCTTTTATCTAGACCCTTGTGAGATATCTGAGATTTTTTTTCTTCTTCTTCTTCTTTCTTTTTCTTTCCTTCTTTTTTATCACTGAAGACTTTTTAAGTAATGGTGAAAAAAAAAATAAAGAATAGTAAAAGTTTAAGACAGTGATGTGTGTAGATAGAGGGAAATGGATACCGCTGCAGCGGCCTCACAGTCATGGCTAAATGACGAAAATATAACTTGCAGTCCCTGTTCAGATTCTAAGGCTCGTATCTTGTTTACCTTGCCAGGAATAACACAACACTGACTGCTTAACTCATTACTGTGATGTCCGAAGTAGTTCATGCGTTCCTATGCACTTGTCAATTGGCTAATTGGATATTTGGCTAACTATCAATGTCTGCTGTTACACATTTATGCTCTTCAAGCATTTTGTACTTTATTTATAGCTCTTAAGATTGATCTATAGGCTAGCCTTATTTAGAATTGTGTGCGTATCGTGCGTTTCACATTTTCATTTGCAGCTGCAAGAAGCCAGCCATTCAGTGACAGAATGCTGGTGAGAAATGTGTTTCCAGTGTTATATTGATTCTGGGATATTTTTAAGACATACATAGGCGACGAAGAATAATTAGAATTTAGTACCCATCCCAGTTTAATATCTGGGCCCATCAAGAGCTCCAAATACTGAAAAAAAAGTGATTAAAATAGAAGCAATCTAGACGATAGAAGCGAACGAAAGTTTGACATTTCCAGATATAAAGGTATTTGGTTAATTATTTTACGTATGAATGCAGTTCTATCTTGTCGTACATACTGAGGTGAAGAGAATGTGTCCTGGGGAGTGTTGAGGGGCGGATCCCCCCATCAACCCCTCCCCTCGGTCAGTGACCAAAGGGCAAACCTAGTCACGGCAACTTAAATTTTAGGCTGGTTATTGGGAAATACGTTTTTGGGGGGTTTGGAATGTCCAGTAGAGTTTTGCCAGAAGGTGTGTTTGGTTCCCATTGTTATTCTTCTATTTAAGCCTTTTTACCCCATAATTTCCCTGATATACTTCATGCCCGATTGAGAAATGGTACTCAATCTGCTGAACGATTCATTCACTGAAGGAACGACACTAAAAATAGACAAAATCATTGGATTTCCTGCAGAAAAACTTTTTTTTTTTAAGTTTCTGGGAGGGTGCATCACTATTGGTGACAATTACCTTTTTTAACATGATCAAAGTGTGAAAACTTTTTAGAAATCGGAAAAAAATTACTTAGGCGTTCTGATTGTCTTTTTAGCCAATTCATCCTAAATCTGGGGAATGTTGTGGATACTTTTATTGATTTTGACTATTTATTTGGGGGGAGTGTTTTACGTAGAGGACGTATTAGGTGTCAAAAAGTGTGGTTTTGTCAGGTATGTCACTTTTACAAGAAGCACTGGAAGAAAAACAAAAAAAATGTCCGCAACATTCCCTAGATCATTTATTTATCTACAAAATGAACCATAATACGTTTATTTCGGAATAAAAATGTGTGTGCTAGAGTTTTCATGAGATGAATTCAGGAGAGAGAAGATATATCAAATGATTTTGATTTCTGCTTAATCTAGAATGTAAGCGTTAAGCATGTGATTGTGTTATGATCTCATTGTCATGGTATACTTTGCTACAGCAGTAAGGTTAATTAATAAACATTGTACCCCATATACTCCAGCAAGGTATTTCTTTATAGGGTTAATCTTTACAGTATGCATGCACAAAGCTAGGGCTATTGAAGATAATATTCTTGTAGAGGATAAAAAGTTAAAAAAAAGGATAAAAAGATAAAATGCTACTGATAAAGGAAAATAGTCATGGAAGGGAATACTCACAGTGCAAGTTCACATGGTGTTTCCTAGTTTCAGCTCCTATTTTGTCATGCATACTAAGGTGAAGACAATATTTGCCAGGGGGTCCTTCTCAATCACTGCAACTTAAACTATGGAATATGTTTTGTGAGATGGAGTTGGTGACTTTGTCTCTGGTGAGTGCTTCCATACAGTAATACAGTGACTAAATGTCACCAAATTTATTCAGCAATCTAAGACACCCTGACTTGGACTGCCCCAGGAGAGTGTTTGTAGGGGGCTCTTCCACCCATCACCTCCCCGGTAAATATTGTCTTCACCTCTGTACACAGCAAGATAGAACTGAAATTTGGGACCACCAAAGGGATATAGGCTGTAAACAGCAATTTTTTCCCTTTACATATGGCATTACCATTCATGTCTGTACATATTTTCTTGTACTGATGACTCAGATTTGGTAAGAATATAGACATCAACT